TTCATGAGGTTGGCAAGATAGTCATGGTCAACAGCTTGATGTCCAGGTGGAGATCAGTGATGAGTGATGTTCTTCAGAGGTCAGTGTTGGACCAGCACTGTTCAACACCTTTGTCAGCAACATGGAGAGTGGAATTGAGCTCAGCCTCAGCAAGTTTACCAGTGACATCAAGGTATGTGGTGCAGTTGACATGCTGGAAAGAAACAATGGATCCAGAGGGACTCAACAGGCTGGAGAGGTGGGACCATGGGAACCTCATGAAGTTCAACCAGGCTAAGTGCAAGGTCCTGAATATGGGTCAGGGCAATCCCAAGTACAAATACAGGCTGAGTAGAGAATGGATCGAGAGCAGTCACTAGGAGAAGAACTTGGGGGACTTGGCTGATAATAAGCTCAACATGACTCTGCCTAATGTGTGCGCACAGCCCAGAAAGCCAGCCATATTCTGAGCTGTATCAAAAGGAGTATGGCCAGCAGGTTGACGGAGGGGATTCTTGCTGTCTAGTCTGTTTTCATGAGATTGTGCCTGCAGTACTGCATACAGCTCTGGGGCAACAACACAAGAGGGACATTGAAGAGCTGCTGGAGTGAGTCCAGAGGAGGCCACAGAGATGCTGCGAGGGCTGGAGCAGCTCTGCTCTGGAGACTGGTTGAGAGAGCTGGGCTGGTTCAGCCTGGAGAAGAGAAGGCTCCTTAAGGGGAGACCTTAGAGCAGCTGCCAGTGCCTAAAGGAGCTACAAGAAGCCTGGAGAGGAGCTTTGGACAAGGGCCTGTTAGGGACAGAACAAGGGGGAACGGCTTTAACTTGACCGAAGGGAGGCTGAGATGAGATCTCAAGCAGTTCTTCCCTGTGAGTGTGGTGAGGCCCTGGCACAGGTTACCAGAGAAGCTGTGGCTGCCACATCCCTGGCAGTTTTCAAGGCCAGGTTGGATGAGGCTTGGAGCAGCCTGATCCAGTGGAAGATGTCCCTGCTCACAGCAACGGTTTGCAACTGGATGATCTTTAAGGTCTTTTCCAACCCAAAGCAGTCTGTGATTCTATGATCTTGGAATCATAAATAATTATGATTGGAAGGTACATGCCTGAACCTCTTTTGCTACTGATGCTACACAGGCACTGGAATCAACTTTATTTAGAAGATTTGCTAATCATCATAGCTGTGCTGAAAACAACATATAGAATCATAGAATCATAGAATAGTTAGGGTTGGAAAGGACCTCAAGATCATTTAGTTCCAACCCCCCTGCCATGGGCAGGGACACCTTGCTCTAAACCATATTACCCAAGGCCTCGTCCAACCTGGCCTTGAACACTGCCAGGGATGGAGTATTCACAACCTCCTTGGGCAACCTATTCCAGTGCCTCACCACCCTAACAGGAAAAAATTTCCTCCTTATATCCAATCTAAACTTCCCCTGTTTAAGTTTTAACCCCTTTTTACCCCTTGTCCTATTACTACAGTCCCTAATGAAGAGTCCCTCCCCAGCATCCCTATAGGACCCCTTCAGATACTGGAAGGCTGCTATGAGGTCTCCACGTAGCCTTCTCTTCTCCAGGCTGAACAGCCCCAACTTTCTCAGCTGATCTTCATATGGGAGGTGCTTCAGTCCCCTGATCATTCTCGTGGCCCTCCTCTGGACTTGTTCCAACAGTTCCATGTCCTTTTTATGTTGAGGACACCAGAACTGCACACAATACTCCAAGTGAGGTCTCATGAGAGCAGAATAAAGGGGCAGGATCACCTCCTTCGACATGCTGGTCACGCTCCTTTTGATGCAGCCCAGGATACAGTTGTCTTTCTGGGCTGCAAGCACACACTGAAGCCGGCTCATGTTCATTTTCTCATCGACCAACACCAACAAGTCCTTCTCCACATGTCTGCTCTGAATCTCTTCTCTGCCCAGCCTGTAGCTGTGTCTGGGATTGCTCCTATCTAGGTGTAGGACCTTGCACTTGGCATGGTTAAACTTCAGAAGGTTGGCATCAGCCCATCTCACAAGCATGTTGAGGTCCTTCTAGATGGCGTTCCTTCCCTCCAGCGTATCAACTGAACCACACAGCTTGGTGTCATTGGCAAAGTTGCTGAGGGCACATTCAATCGCAGTGCCCACCTTGCCAACATGCAGCACAGAAGCTGGTTATAACTCTTATGCTTTCATTTTTGCCCCAAAACAGTTAGAAACAATCCTGATTCAGATTAATTCATTTTAATTTGAGTTTAGGAAAGTATAAAGTTAAGGCAGGACTTCAAGAACTCAAAGACATTTTTTAGTTGAAATTCTATGGTGTAACATAAATGGATTAGAGCATACACTGACAGGCCAGGAGCAGTACACAATAAAAGATCAAAGAAGCTATGAGAAATAAATATAGCCAGAGATCTCTAGAAGAGATATCATATTATTAAATCAATTACTAGTGTGGGTGGTACATGTGTAGTCAGTACGATGTGCTAAAGACAGGGGACAGCCAGGTTAGATATTAAATTTCCTTGTTCCTTCATTTCTCTTTTCTCCACTTCATTAGTCCCCATGTCAATGGAGGGCTGTTTCTGACTATACATTTCATTGTAATTTTATCCAGCTAATGGAGGTTCTCAAATTATTCTAGGATGCTGCAGCATAATTCAATGGATTATGATTTCAAATAAAATTTACAGATTTATTACTCTATTTTCTTTTTCGTATTTTCACCTCATTATCCAAATTGACTATCTACAGTGATTGTGTTTAAAGATTTAAAATTAACACCAGTTACTGTGTCTGAAATACTGAGCTCATACATCAGGATAAATATTTTAATGTTGAAACAGTAATTTTTTTTTATTCATGATACTGTTAAAAGCTCTCAAATATTTATAGATTTATATTAGATCTGCTCATTGTTAGCACACCCAATACTCAAAACTTAACCTTTTTCTGGTGAATCAGATTCTCTCTTCTTTTGTGGTATTTTTGTTTCTAAATTCTATTTCAAGGTCTTTTTTTCACAAGAAATAAAAATGAGGCTTTAACAGACTGATGTATGTCATGAAAATGATGGACCAATTTGAGGGATTCAGTAATAGCAAATTAATAGGACTGAATGATCTCCCTCCAGAATTCTCAGGCTAGAAAATTATTAAGTACAGTATGTATAGATGGGAATATACATTGTCTTTTAAAGATAGTAATAATAATATTTAACACCCTATCCCTCTTCTTAGTGATTGAAGGGCACTAATACTGTTGACTTCATGGTTTTGGGTTTCTTTAAAAAAATGGTGTGAAAATCCAGATTCATTTTGGTGCTGGGAAAAATATTGAGCTCTTCCAAAGAATATGATAATGCAGGACTCAGAGGACAATAGCCTGAATTGGCTGAACCAACACTTCTCCTACAAAAAAGAGCTGAATTAGAGCAAAACAGGTAAAAATGAGCAAGAAATAAAAAACCTCCAAATCCTGGACTTTCCAAAATCTTATGATAATGATAATTTAGAAGAGTGTTTAAGGAAATTGTTATGTAGGAAGGAGTGGACTCCTACGTTGGACTAATCCAGGTGTTTTATTATTTGTAGTGCATGAATTGTTTTCTCCCAGCATGATGCTGAATTAAAATTGTCCTAGCAGATGGTTAGGATGGATAATCACTTCTATTGTGTTACTCTGGACGTGGCCATACATCTGACTGGGGAAATAGAAGGTAAGAGCTAGCTTCTATCAGTAAGTTAAGGGACTGTAAAACTAATTCGGCTAGTGGAAAACTGTTGGGGCAACCAAGACGACTGTTGTGCTCTGACTGTCTCTGCCAGCACCTTGCAGGGTCCCACACTGCACATCAACCTGCCTGTCTGTCCATACCCAGGCTGGGGCTGGGTCTGCTCCTGAAACTGATCTTGACTGTCCGGATTTGTCCTGTGGGAGAAGACTACTGAGCCTACAAGTATATCAGTAGTGCCAGCGGATACCCATGCAAGACCTGCTTGTGGGGATGAGTGAGCTAGCTGGTGCTCAAACAATCCCATATTTGAAAGAATAGCAGTAATTCAATTGCAACTAAATAAGCTTTTTTTGGTGGTCTAAACCTGTAAATAATTCAGACATCAGTGACATATTGTCATGCTAACCACACCTTGTTGGGTATAGTAGCACATTCAGGTTTGTTCACCCCACTTTGGGAAGGACACTTTTGTCCTTGGGTGACACACCGTGGACACAGGTTTTACTTAACGTCAGATAGCGGTGTGCAAGCAGTTAGACCTCAGTCTGAGAGTGACTTACCTTGAATTCACCCAAAGTTTGTAAAACAGAATACCAGTTGAGTGGAGAATGAGAAAGGCCATCTTCTCTGCTGTATGCAGACCCACAGAACAAAAATAAAAGAGCTCATGGATGGATGGAAATCAAGATTAATTACTCTACCTAGCATGAATTCAAACTGGAATCCAGTGCCATTCAGTCAAATATTTTGACTGGATTTTTTAAGTGATGGATTAGTTAAAAGCTATTATTCACTGTAACTACACATAGAAACAGGTAAATATTGTGACTATTTAAACTGAATGCTCCTTCCTGGCTTCGAAATTGTACAACTGAGGGTAAAGTTTGGCTATCTAAAAGTAATCAAATATAATGCTTCATGCTGTACAGTAACCTTCTTGCCTGAAGGGGTCAGGAACGAAATATTTCCCCACACTAATGAGTAAACTCAGTTTTATTTTTCAGCAGTTGACATGTTATTGAGCTACTTGCTTATTAATGCTGGTGACACAATGTGCCACTGCCTAATTCTCTGTGGCAGAGGTGTTGCTACTCCAGTTAGGAGAATATGATTAACATCCCAGTAAGTAGGGAATAGTTGGTCCCTTTGCATCTCAAGGCACTGCTCAACTGTTCCTCTGTGGTCCTCCAACTTTCAGTCAGCTTTTCATTTCCTTACACTTTCAGTCAACCCAATGCAATTATTAAGGTACCCTGCAATTCTTTGTGCCAGGATTTACCCATCAAACCACATCAGGTATGAAAATGACGCAGGGCACTGGGTAATGACAGATCTCGTGCACCTGTAGATACAAAACTCATTGAGTACACCTCTGTCTAATGAGAAAGCACAAGTGCTCTGACAAGAAAAAACAACAAATAAAGAAAAAAGTCTCTATCCTGTCAAATACTATGTGCATATCAAGAATCCGGAATACAAAGCAGACTTAACAGCAATCACATTTAGAGTAGAATTCACTTGAATGCAACACCTTCTCCTTCTAAGGTTTTGAGTGTGGTATCTTAAAGAATATCACACAAATTACTCATCGCAGGAACAAAGGCTCTTTTTTGAAAGCTGTCAGGTTGCTGACAGTTATGATGAGCATTTACTTCAGGCTTGTAAAACATTAATCAAACTTGTTCCTATAGCTTTAGTCCAAGGAGGGTTACTGTTTCTTTTAGATAAATATTTAACATAAGTGAAGAGCTCTGAATATGTATACACCTTGAATGTGAACCACTGTCTATGCCATTCATTTATTTGTAATGAATAAATACTAGTCTATGCCAGGCTTAAGGAAGATTGAAGCAGTATATGGAAATCTGTTTATGACAAGACTATTTGCCAAAGACCTATGCACCATTCATTGAACCTTGAAAAACATTTGAAAATATGGGTTGCATTTGCAAACTTCAATGTATGACATGGAGAGCTGGCAAGCTGCCTGGTTTCTACTTAAAGGATTGTCATTCTGGGAAAAATAAATTTCTCTAACTAGACAAAAGTCAATGTTTTCATGTTTTACTGCAATCAAACTGATATGGCTGACAATTTAATGTCTCAACACTTAAAATATCTGTGGATAATCAGTTACCTCAATCAATCATAACTACAAGATTTTTCTATTTTCAAAGCTTGTATACACATGACTGAGATATTTAATAATTTAGAAAAACCTCCCCATCTTTAATCCTTCATGATTTCTCTTGAGCTGTGAAGTTCTTTTTTTTTTTTTTTTCCCAAATGCATGATTTTATAATTGCTGTGGGGAAAAAAATTCCAACCCTGCACTGTAATTATATTTTGAAACCTTTGTGTTAATGTCCTGTTTTATTTAATTTTATGTATATTTTATAGTCTGCTTGCCTGTCAAAAAGATGTGGAAATGTGCTGGCATTACAGCTGAAGACATCCTTATGAGTGAGAAAATGCTCAAGGCTTTTTCAAAGTGGGTGCTGAAACACACGTTTCTCTTCTTTGACTCCAGGGGATGCTAACAGCTGGCCCACAAGACAGGTATTTCAGGGTCAAAGGCTAGCAGAGCTGTGCACATTCAGGATTTGGCTGCCAGTAAAGGAGATGGGTATTTTCTCAAAACTAATAAAAATAGCAACAATGATGAGAAGAAGGAGCTGACAACAAAAATGAAAAGGAACCTGCAAGAAGTGAATTCTGGGTAGCACAACACTTGCAGAGCTGATTTTAATATCTGACAGGCTGAGTTCACTAATCTTTGCTATTCATACTGACGTGAAACTTCATACTGTTTTAGAAATTTGTATTTATTAAGACATGCAGCAGTGTTCGTACAACATGGGAACAAGTTTGCTAGCATTTGCCATTCTTCCTCTGTGATAAAAATTGTTATGAACTTTTTTAAATGCCTAACAGATAATTACTCTCAACACCCAATAATGAAAGCTACATCTTTAGAGCTTCCTTTATCTTTAAAAAAATAACAAAAAAAACCAAGCCCAAAACTGGCTAACAAGACAAAACATTTCCCCCCTCATTTTCCTCCCTCTCTTTTGTTTCTTTGATTACTTGGAGCCTTGTAATCAAACTAAGCTTAGTTTTGGGACCCTTGGGGCAGTATCTCTTAACTCCCTGTCAGACTGAGTTGCAAAACAATCAATCTTGCTCTTGCACTGGCTTGGTGGATGAGTCACGACACGAGGAGTGCAATGCTTTGCTCTTGCTGTGAAGCTTCGATGACAAAAGTTTTTATCAGAAGCTGACTGTATTTAGGATTATGAATATGCAATGACTCTCATTAGTATTGAAGCACAGGAGCACGGGCTGACATCCCCCGCCACTTTTAGCTGCTGCAGAGTTGTCTAATGAATTGTCTTGCTCTTTCACTCGAACAGACTTTGCTGTTATGGTTCCCTGCTCTAAGGGGAGTTGCCTGGTTTGAGAATACTATTGACGGCAGAAATTAATTGCCAAGAACTGCTCTTGATTTTGTTAAACAGTGTTGAAGTGGTGTTTAAATTGTCAAAACAGAAAACCATTAAACTCTACAGGAGACAAAGTCATCACAGGTGAGAGGACAAGCATACAGGTGTGGTGCAGGTATGCATATGGTCTTGTAATCATACCTATAGGAATAAACATATCCATGTCTAGCATTGATGAGTCTCAGAAACCTGATGTCCTGCTGATTTATCTATTATTCTTCCAACTAGAGCAAATGGGGATAATGGAAAATTCTCCAAATGGGCAGGACTCTAACACATTGCTATTGGATCAACCCAGTAATACCCTTTCTTTTCCCTTTGAGACCTTGCCGAACACTTTTAAGCTCACACATCTGTAATATTTATGAATAAGTTACTGATAAGGATGTTTCCAACAAATGATTAAGATATCTGGCTTGATTTGTCATCTTTGAGATGTATAAACTTTCAGGAACAAATGGAAATGACCTTTTTTTTTTTTCCCAAATGGTTCAATTAAGTACTTTTTCCCTGATCCATCTGAAATTTCTTCTGACATAAGAGGAGCTTTTGTGGCTCTCTGCAGAGTGTGAAGGATAGAGTGAATTGAAATGGATAATTTATTCTAAGAAGCGTAAGTAGTATTCTGAAAGGTGTATGTGTACTGCAAATAATAAAAGATATGAGGTTCATCCAAGAAGATGTCAGGCCTGCATGGCTTTTTATCCATTTAATCAGTAATGGAAATGGTCCCAGTGCAAGGAAGGAAGATCTGTTTAATTTTTATTGTGATTTTTGGCACTGTTGCTCTAACATGAGCTTGGCTTACCTCTTGACCCAACCCCAGGAGTGTCTGTTCTCATCAGCTGGAGAAAAAATAAAGAACATCTACATGTTGGGAGTATCAAATACAAGAGCAGTTTAAAATTAATGCAGTTCTGACAAAAGTGGCTCAAGTATCATACATCAAACACTTGTTACCTCTCTTTGCCTTAGTGATTGCACGTGACTAAGAAAGAGTGAGTGATAAAATCTGAAGAAAGATGAAACCAATCTGGGGCTTTTTAAAGATCATCAATCATTCCATGCAGCCATGGTATTATTAGTTCCAGTAAGCCTTGTTCTCCCATTTTATGGACATCATAAACCCCCCACCCCTAGACCAATGTTACCATGGGAAATCATTTTTATGGGCAGCATCTTAGTGTGGGCCAATCAGATCTAATCACATAACAAGCTACTGAATTATTCAACATTCTCCCTAATTTTGCATTCTTCCTGCACTTTGCTGTCACTGCAGGGTTTTAAAAGTATGTGTTTTTACAATATTTATTAAGAATATAATAATAAGCAGGAATTTTGCTTTCTCTACGTCTTCCAATAAGCGTTTGTTCCCTTGGATTGTTGCAGTGTATACATTACTATATAAAGAATATATTAAAAAAAAAATAAATAGAAACCCACAGTGTGGCATTAGGCTTTAAACTCTTTCAGCTTTTAAGAGACCGAATGTAAAGACAACAATAGTGAAACAATTGTGTTCAAACATAAAATATTCAGATTTACTGAGCAAACTGTAACCAGCATGTCTCTTAGCTGTTGCTATGAATACAGGGGCTTACATTGTATATGAAAATATTTCAGTTTTAATTGCAAATCTGTGCAGAGATGATTTGGGGTCTGTAATTAGCACATAAATTCCAGACTTTGTGACTGCTGTGAAAACACAGATTATTTATGGAATTATTATCTAAATATAATTCAGTGTTTTTTGCTTTCAACAACTACTGTAAAAGTCTGATTTAATAAAATGTGAAATATTTCCCATCTCTTGCACTTCTGTTTATGTTATGAAGCCTTGATTCCTCTGCACTGCCTTTTCCCACTTGACCTGCAGTGGACTTTGCTTTCAGTGGCTCCATACTTCACTCACACCTCAGGGAGGTTTCTTCACAACCATAAAGTGCCAGGCACTTAATTTGTTTAAAATGAAAACTTAGATTATGCAAATAGATCTGAACTGCAAAGAACAGTGAGTTTATGTGACCTCCATCCTCATGCTTTTCATCCAGCCTAGAAGTGGGAATAGATAGGGGCCCTATTTAAGCTGGATTTAAGCTACCATATGCAGATTTCCAGTTATCTGGGCAGGGTTACTGGAAGGACAAAGTGTCTCTTGTTCCCACACACTTCTTGTAAATTGCAGGCTCAGCCACTTCTAGCTCCCATCAGTGTAGGGTACAACCAGGAAGAAATTTGCCTTGTTCCTCACCAGAAATCCCATACATTTTCAAAGCTGCTTACTTGCACAACCTGGTTTACAGCAATATTTTGAGACCCTCTTCCATTCCAGAGTTTAAAAGGGTATTTTCAGATTATATAGAACTGAGCCTTTCCCTTGCAGCTTCATGGTTGCCTTAAGGTTAAGGGCTGGAGCTGGTGGTGATGGGGCTGGGCACCAGCTACACACTAATACTGCAATGGCAGGTTAAATAATGAAACAGAGCTTGCAGTAAAACCAACAAAAATCTGTAATACGGACTTAATTTACATCAGAATGTGACATGCCAGAAACTTTCTGCTTTCTTCCTTTTTTTCCCATCCTCATGGGCTACTCTCTGTATAGTTTTGCTGTCTTTGAAGGAAAATTCTTTCCATCTCTCCTTCTGCATCCCAGCTGTGAGACACCTACTGCTGCCTTGCTGTCCTCGGCTGCTTGGCAGCTCTGTGCAATCGCAACCTCAACAGCCACTGTAGTAATAATTGCAATAATCAGTAGCAGAGTTTCCTTGCCTTTCCCAGGGCTGCCTCCCCTTGCACTAAAAGCTTGCCTGCAAAAGCATCCCCATGGATGCTTCCATGGGGTGGGCCGGGCACTGTTTCATTGCCAGAAATGTGCAATTTTTTTTGCTCATGATGTTACTAGGATTTGGTAATGACACCTCCCTGCATGTCTGACCAGTTGCCTGTGATAGAGCCAGGCAGGATCTGTGCTCAGTGTACCTTGTATCCTGGCGTACATTCTGATTTGAACAGTGATATCAATATCATGGCGCACATGCTTGGGGAAGGGTGTTACGAAGAGTAATTGAGAGATTCAGCCTGAATTCACTGAAAGCTGTAATTTAAAGTTCCAGTACTACTATTACCATTAAAATGTAAAGTGACAGAGGCCCAATTATGAACGGTTATTTTCTTAAATAAAATTGCTTTTTTCTCTTATCCTCTGAGAAGCACTCATTTCTGCCTAGCTGTTGCTGTCACCAGGACCTGTCTTTGTGGCTTCTGCTGTCAGTGAGATGCTAATCCTCCCGCCCCTGACGAGGAACAGATCTACAGGGCAGTGAGGCTTGGAGCTGTGCAGGGGATGTCAGAGCAGGCAGCTTTGCAAGGAGGTCTGCAGCCTGCTTTCCTGGCAAAATTAGGTACAACTTCTCTATCTGAAGAAGACCCCAGCCCTGCCCTTGTAAACTGTGAATGGTATCTATGGGCAGAGGAGATACTGAGTATGCTTTTAGCAGGGAAAATATGTGGGTAGTACTGGAGGTCTTTTCTAACATACAGGTGGGTTAGTAATTGCTATCATTGCTTCCTGTATAATTTTAATGCAAAATATGCTTGTTGCTTACATGACAAATGTTAGCATGCATTACAGATTATTAGACTGTCTACTCAAAGAATAATGAAAATTCTCCTGGATATCCATTTAGCTGGTGCTACACCTAGACTTACTTCAGATGAATAGGTTATACTGTTTTTAAAGCAGTAGTGGGACATATGGCATGAAAGCTAGGAACCAAGTTCTTTAAGTGGTATCTTGGTATTGGTGTATTTTCTTAATACATGGCATGAGGAATCACAGAACATAGAGATGCCACAAGGACTTGACCTTTCATATGAGAAGGAAGGTACTGCTTTCTGGGAACACAGAGAGTTTTAATGTAGATTGTCTTTGAAAAGTGGCAGAGTTCAATTGCTTTTCACATGCAGACTTCTGAAAGTGAGAGGAGCATTTGGCTCACAAGTAGCAGAATTATAGTCTAAGAGGTAGAGCTGTCCTAGAAATATCAGCCTGACCATCTGTACATCTGGTGGATGCACATACAAAATTCAGGTCAACCAGTTTGACTTTTTTTACTCTCTTGTCAATATAAATACATTTTAATTCCAGATGCAAAACAAGGAATCCAGTATTTTCAGGTGAGATCAGTCACACACAAATAACCTAGGCAGTCACTAATGAATACCCAGGAAGAAAGGGAAGCAGAAGACTTTTTGCAAATCTGACAGAATCAATTACTTCTCCTTACAAGTGGTATCTGCATACTAGGTTATTTTCCCAGCTGCCTGTCAAACAGCTGAACTCAAGACCATGACATACCATTCTCACCTTCAGTCATGCTGCTAAACAGAATAATATGATGTTTTCCACACATTGGTCATCATCAGCCTGAACAATTTTCATTTCTAATCCATTTAGCTAAAATGGACATTTGTCAGGAGAAAATACCTGAGAAATCCCTCAGATCATACTAGAGAGCATTCACAAGGAGGGGTATAATTTGGAAGCAGAAGGATTTTCTCTTCAAGGCATCTCTGGGAAGGCAGAAAATGACTGCAGGAGCAGAAGACAGGAACACATCCAACAGCTCACAGAATAAACTCTATTTGATAGTCAGGAGTATCTGTGTTACAGAAGAAAACCACAGAACAGAGCAGGAGACTATCTGGTGACCACAGACTCATAGAACCATAGAATGGCTTGGGTTGGAAGGTATGTTAAAGATCATTTGATTCCAAGCCCTCTGCCATGGAAAGGGACATCTTCCACTAGACTAAGCTGGCCCTGGCTACTCCCTATAACAGAAATTGAGACAATCAGTACAACAGGCTTTTAATTATGGACTGTAGATCATTGTCAATGGTTGCTTTCTGCAATACTGGCAAACTTAGTGTTGGTGGTTCATTCTTTAAGTATATGAAATTGAACACTGTCGCAACGAGGGCCAGTATCCCTCTGTGTTAGGTGCTGTAGAAGCACAGGACCAACACCTCTCTTCTCCATGTCTAGGAGCTTAAATTAATCTGAGACATATCACTGTCCTGTTAAGGCCATGCTGGCAGTGACATTGAACCCTACAGGTAAGAATACACCCCTTATGTCACTCTAGCAACATCCACACATCATGTATTTGGTTCTGAGCTTGACCTGGCCAGGGCTAGCTCCACACCTGAAGTAGGACTTCTGTGTGTAACATCACCAAAGCATCTTCTCCCAGCACCATACTTGCAGCTGGCTGAGTACTGCGGCCAGGTGGCCTAGATGATTCAACTAGAGCGTTCCTGGAAAATCCAGTAAAGACCAGTCCCAAAGAAGGCTAATTAGTGTTGGCCTAGTGAACGCTGGTGAAATCATTCAAGGGGGACACATGCTATATGAGGATAGCCGAAGCTGTGATCTGCTGCTGGATTGAAAAAAAATAATAAATGTTATGCTATGCATTGTAGATAATCCTTGCATGTTTTAATTTTTAATAAAAATGCTCCTTTGTAAGTATGAGGAGCAATACAAGTTTAATGTGGACTCAGAGGACCATGCAACACAAAGATAATTGACTCACTGCCATCACTTGCTAGATATCTTTTCTTTCTCTTTTCTTATGTCTTCATGCTTCCTAAGTTCTTAATGGAAACAGAACCTGCTAAAGAGCCAGAGTCTGACACAGAGCTTACTACCTACTAGTCAATATTGAAATTGGATTTGAATTACTGTGTAAGTAATTACCAATAAGAAAACTAGAGTAAAAGGGCCATGGAAAGATATAATGCACCTGCAGGTCATAGGCAATGGGAAGCAGAAATAATAATGTTTACAGAGGTCAAAAGTTTAAATTTTCAATTATCATTTTATCAGGGAATAGAGACTACTTTTTATGTGTATGGCTTCCTATGTAAAATTTGAGTTTGTTTTACATGGATGTTTGGTATCTTTCCACTAACCAGTGTCACAACTGAAAAGCCAAACAGATGAACAATATTTACAGTGAACCTTTGAACTGTTGGCCTGATATTATCACTCTTTTTAATCAGAAAGTAGTTCAGTGTTTAACTAACCTTACTTTCATCTTCTCTGTCTCTACTTGTGCTGCATTACCCCATCTGCAATAAACAATGAAGAAAGCTGTAACATCTGGAGTAGTGACTATAACCTGTCCTCCCCTTAATGACGAGTTTAAGCAGTTCGTCAAAACCCATCATCTGAACAGATAAGTTGAATTCAAAGACTGCCAAATTGGACATACTCTGAGCTGAAATAAAAGCAGAGAGGTGTCTGTGCTTATTAGGGACTTCCTAACAGAAGTCTTGGTGTCTTACTGTAAGGCATCTTTATGCGTCATCTGTGGTGTTTTATGGAAGCTGGAACTGTAAAAACAAGTGGGAAACAATATTTGCTTTATTCACAAGGCAAAACCTCATAACTGGGGAAAGAACATCACTACTTAAAAAAAAAACCACTAGAGCCCCCAATTTTAAGGAGCAGGTTAAGGGAGATGAAGTGACCAAATCCTCATCAAGAACTATTAACGGTGCTATGTATTGCACACAAAAGCTCCTGACCAGACTGATGTTTCTGTTAAAAAGTTCAGCAGTGTCAGCTGGGATGTAACCTGAAGTTCCCAGTTAGGTTTCAGAGTAGATAACATAATAGGCAGAGCCAGAGCTCCTCCTCTAAGAGCTTTTTGTTTCTTTTTCTTACCTGATTTCTTACTGCAAAGCAAACCAGAACAGACCTAATATTTTTTACATACTTTTTCAGAGAAA